CTGCTGAATACCATGACAACCAGCACTGCTAAGCACCATGACAACCAGCACTGCTGAATACCATGACAACCAGCACTGCTAAGCACCATGACAACCAGCACTGCTAAGCACCATGACAACCAGCACTGCTAAGCACCATGACAACCAGCACTGCTGAATACCATGACAACCAGCACTGCTAAGCACCATGACAACCAGCATTGCTAAGCACCATGACAACCAGCACTGCTAAGCACCATGACAACCAGCACTGCTAAGCACCATGACAACCAGCACTGCTGAATACCATGACAACCAGCACTGCTAAGCACCATGACAACCAGCACTGCTAAGCACCATGACAACCAGCACTGCTAAGCACCATGACAACCAGCACTGCTGAATACCATGACAACCAGCACTGCTGAATACCATGACAACCAGCACTGCTGAATACCATGACAACCAGCACTGCTGCAGGCAGTGTGAGTCTCCATATGCAGGAAAAATTCAACACCCTCACCAATTTTAAGGGATTTAATATCAGAATAGACTGCATATATATATATGTACCGTAGAGAAGGATAGCGGGAGTATAAATCTCTGTGACAACTCGGGAAGAGATGAAAGTGTATTCAGGGCGGATGGTGTGCACTTAAGTGGGTTAGCACACGCAACATTCCCAAGAATGTTGCACAGAATCAACAACAATTCTTTTGTGTAGAGAGAGGAAGGATGTAAGTGAAGGAGAAGTAGAGAGATTAAGAGGAAGAGAGTGGGAGAGAGAGATAGAGAGAGTGTTGATAGGAGGGTCGAGATAAAAGCCAAGAATGATGAAAGAAGGAGTAAATGAAAAAGGAAGAATATTGAAGCATATCAGACCAACAATATGATTATTTTTTTTTGTTACTATTATTATTGTGGTTATTATTTGTATTATTATTATTATTATTATTATTATTATTATTATTATTATTATTATTAATAATAATATTATTATTATTATTATTATTATTATTATTGTTAGCATTATTATTATTATTAATGCTTTTCAGAATGGAAGGTAACCAGGTATGAGTGCAGGGAGGGAAGGAAGGCTAGCTCTAGTGCCATGAATCATGAGCTCTCGAGCAGTAACATAGCTTACCTCATGTAATGTTGTGTACACTGGCATACATAGCACATTTCATTCTCAGTGACATCCGTACACTGAGTCTTTCCTGACTTCATTGTGTACACACATACACACAGTATACACACTAACAACTCTGTGTTTATACAGTCATCCTAACATCCTTGCATGTGCACACTCCTCCTGACATCTTTGTATGTACACTCACGGTCATCCTAACATCACTCCTCTGAACACAACAAGGACCACCACTTCAGATTATTAACTGGGATTCGATCTTGTAATCTGAAATTACTAATATTACTAATGTTGTTAATATTACTGATACTGCCCAGACTCATCTTAAACTGATACATTACATATACATTAGCAACACCAGCAGCCTTGACACGAAAAATAAATGAAGTTCAATATATATATCCACAAATTGGGCCAGTCGAGGGAGAAGTTTCAGGTGTAAACATTGGTAACCTGCTGAGAGAAACAGTCGAGGGAGAAGTTTGAAGTGTAAACATTGGTAACCTGCTTAGAGAAACAGTCGAGGGAGAAGTTTGAAGTGTAAACATTGGTAACCTGCTGAGAGAAACAGTCGAGGGAGAAGTTTGAAGTGTAAACATTGGTAACCTGCTGAGAGAAACATTCGAGGGAGAAGTTTGAAGTGTAAACATTGGTAACCTGCTGAGAGAAAGTCGAGAGTGAAGTTTGAAGTGTAAACATTGGTAACCTGCTGAGAGAAACAGTCGAGAGAGAAGTTTGAAGTGTAAACATTGGTAACCTGCTGAGAGAAACAGTCGAGGGAAAAGTTTGAAGTGTAAACATTGGTAACCTGCTGAGAGAAACAGTCGAGAGAGAAGTTTGAAGTGTAAACATTGGTAACCTGCTGAGAGAAACAGTCGAGAGAGAAGTTTGAAGTGTAAACATTGGTAACCTGCTGAGAGAAACAGTCGAGAGAGAAGTTTGAAGTGTAAACATTGGTAACCTGCTGAGAGAAACAGTCGAGGGAGAAGTTTGAAGTGTAAACATTGGTAACCTGCTGAGAGAAACAGTCGAGGGAGAAGTTTGAAGTGTAAACATTGGTAACCTGCTGAGAGAAACAGTCGAGGGAGAAGTTTGAAGTGTAAACATTGGTAACCTGCTGAGAGAAACAGTCGAGAGAGAAGTTTGAAGTGTAAACATTAGTAACCTGCTGAGAGAGATATTTCACAAATCGGTAGAAGGAAGGAAAGTACAAATTATTTACGCAAATTTCGTAAGAGAGTAATAGTACAAACGGATTTGTTAAAAAAAACACTGAAATACGATTACGAAAAGTGAAAGGTACACAAGCCACAGATGGAGCTCTCCTCGATTTGCAGAAAGTCTTCTGCAAAGTTATTTCAGAAAGCTTACGGCAGAGTGCTTCCAGAAAACATTCGACAAAGTGTTTCCAGAAAGCCTTCGACAGAATGCTTTCAGAAAGCTTACGGCAGAGTGCTTCCAGAAAACATTCGGCAAAGTGCTTCCAGAAAGCCTTCGACAGAGTGCTTCCAGAAAGCCTTCGACAGAGTGCTTCCAGAAATCCTTCGACAAAGTGCTTCCAGAAATCCTTCGACAGAGTGCTTCCAGAAATCCTTCGACAAAGTGCTTCCAGAAAGCCTTCGACAGAATGCTTCCAGAAATCCTTTGAAAACGTGCGTCTAGAAAGCCTTCGATAAAACTTCACAAGAGATTACCAGACAAACCCCCGCCAGGTGGTACAACAGACAACCCAGGATCAACGACTGGCTCAACGAAAACAAACAATAGGCAATAACTCTGCAAGTATCAGAGTGGCTGACCCTAGCAAATGACGTTCCTCAGGGATGGTTTCTTTGACCCTCTCCTTGCCGCAATTAGTGTTCCCGAAACTAAAAGTAGTCAGACTTGAATAATTTGGCCGCGAAGTCAGATAGGTCGAAAATTAATTTCGCCGTAGAGAACGTAGAGTACGGCAATATGATTGCTACGTTGAAATAATGTAAACCTACAATGTCTGGTGGATATCTCACTGATATGTAAGAGGAGACGCACCTGTAGTTAACAGGAGAGAGATTGTTAGCGGGAGAGCGTTAGTAGGCGAGTGTTTGTAGGAGAGTGTTAGCAGGAGAGTGTTAGCAGGAGAGTGTTAGTAGGAGAGTGTTAGCAGGAGAGTGTTAGCAGGAGAGTGTTAGTAGGAGAGTGTTAGCAGGAGAGTGTTAGCAGGAGAGTGTTTGTAGGAGAGTGTTAGCAGGAGAGTGTTAGCAGGAGAGTGTTAGTAGGAGAGTGTTAGCAGGAGAGTGTTAGCAGGAGAGTGTTAGTAGGAGAGTGTTAGCAGGAGAGTGTTAGCATGAGAGTGTTAGTAAGAGAGTGTTAGCAGGAGAGTGTTTGTAGGAGAGTGTTAGCAGGAGAGTGTTTGTAGGAGAGTGTTAGCAGGAGAGTGTTTGTAGGAGAGTGTTAGCAGGAGAGTGTTTGTAGGAGAGTGTTAGCAGGAGAGTGTTTGTAGGAGAGTGTTATTAGCAGCATTAGCATCGCCCGACTGTCTCTCCCCTCCCTCACTCCCCCTCCTTCACTCTCCCCTCCCTCACTCTCACCTGCCTCACTCTCCTCTCCCTCACTCTCCCCTCCCACACTCTCCCCTCCCTCACTCTCCCCTCCCTCACTCTCCTCTCCCTCACTCTCCCCTCCCTCACTCTCCCCTCCCTCACTCTCCCCTCCCTCACTCTCCCCTCCCTCACTCTCCTCTCCCTCACTCTCCTCTCCCTCACTCTCCTCTCCCTCACTCTCCTCTCCCTCACTCTCCTCTCCCTCACTCTCCTCTCCCTCACTCTCCTCTCCCTCACTCTCCTCTCCCTCACTCTCCTCTCCCTCACTCTCCTCTCCCTCACTGTCCCCTCCCTCACTGTCCCCTCCCTCACTCTCCCCTCCCTCACTCTCCCCTCCCTCACTCTCCCCTCCCTCGCTCTCCCCTCCCTCACTCTCCCCTCCCTCACTCTCCCTCCCTCGTCCAGGTACATACAGGTATTGTATTATACATGTGAGTGCTACACAGGTGTCCAGGTATTACACAGATGTTATATGACAAGTATGTGTTACGCAGGTGTTATATAGCAAGTGTTACACAGATGATACGTAACAAATTTGCTACAGAGGCATTAACAAAGGTGTAATGCAGGTAAATACAGGAACTACACAGGTGTTACACATGTGTTGCATAACAAATGATATTACAATAATGTTTCATAACCAGGTGTGACGAAGGTGACTCACAGGTGTTAAGCAAGTGTTGCATAACACCTGTGTTACAAACGTGTTACAATGGTGTTACTTAATAGCTCTGTGTCGTACAACTGTTACAAAGGCGTTAAGCATTGGTTACGTGTTCCACAGGTGTTACATAACAGTTACGTGTTCCACAGGTGTTACATAACAGTTACGTGTTCCACAGGTGTTACATAACAGTTACGTGTTCCACAGGTGTTACATAACAGTTACGTGTTCCACAGGTGTTACATAACAGTTACGTGTTCCACAGGTGTTACATAACAGTTACGTGTTCCACAGGTGTTACATAACAGTTACGTGTTCCACAGGTGTTACATAACAGTTACGTGTTCCACAGGTGTTACATAACAGTTACGTGTTCCACAGGTGTTACATAACAGTTACGTGTTCCACAGGTGTTACATAACAGTTACGTGTTCCACAGGTGTTACATAACAGTTAGGTGTTCCACAGGTGTTACATAACAGTTAGGTGTTCCACAGGTGTTACATAAGCCATATGTTCAACAAGTGTTACATCATACTTATGTGTTCTACAAGTATTGCACAGGTGTTATGTGTTACACAGGTGTCATGTGTTTCACAGGTGTTACTATTTTTGTGTTCCACAGGTGTTGCACAGCAGTGAGACGGATGACTGGACGTTGCAGCTGCAGTACACACAGCCCCGGGACACAGGTGCCTACAAGTGCCAAGTTAACTCTGACCCCAAGATTGTCAGGACTGTCTACCTGACCGTCACAGGTGTGTGTGTCTGTGTGTGTGTGTGTGTGTGTGTGTGTGTGTGTGTGTGTGTTTGTGTGTGTGTGTGTGTGTGTGTGTGTGTGTGTTGTGTGTGTGTGTGTGTGTGTGTGTGTGTGTGTGTGTGTGTGTGTGTGTGTGTGTGTGTGTGTGTGTGTGTGTGTGTGTGTGTTGTGTGCGCGCGGTCAGCTATCCCAAATTGACTATAAATATTTCTGGTTATCTTCTACGTCGTGATCATATATCCCCGTGTCTTCTTATTTTCCCAGATCAAATTCAGCTTTTTTTAGTCTCTCCTCGTCTAGCAGGTCCTTTAACGTGTAAACACGTGCAGGCCACTTTAAAGTGTACACAAGTGCAGGAGACCACTTGTCTCTGCCTCACCGTGTACGTCACTGTTTTCCAGCTCACTGCTAACTGACCTGTTAACAGTGACACGTACTATCTTGTTAGTGGTGCCTCTGTGTATGTGTGTTGGTGTGTTTGTGTCTATATGTATGTGTGTTGGTGTGTGTTTGTGTCTGTATGTACGTGTGTTGGCGTGTTTGTGTCTGTATATACGTGTGTTGGAGTGTGTTTGTGTCTGTATATACGTGTGTTGGAGTGTGTTTGTGTCTGTATGTACGTGTGTTGGCGTGTGTTTGTGTCTGTATGTACGTGTGTTGGTGTGTTTTGTGTCTGTATATACGTGTTTGGAGTGTGTTTGTGTCTGTATATACGGTGTTGGTGTGTGTTTGTGTCTGTATGTACGTGTGTTGGCGTGTGTTTGTGTCTGTATGTACGTGTGTTGGTGTGTGTTTGTGTCTGTATATACGTGTGTTGGAGTGTGTTTTGTGTCTGTATATACGTGTGTTGGTGTGGTTTGTGTCTGTAGTACGTGTGTTGGCGTGTGTTTGTGTCTGTATGTACGTGTGTTGGTGTGTGTTTGTGTCTGTATGTACGTGTGTTGGCGTGTTTGTGTCTGTATATACGTGTGTTGGAGTGTGTTTGTGTCTGTATGTACGTGTGTTGGCGTGTGTTTGTGTCTGTATGTACGTGTGTTGGTGTGTGTTTGTGTCTGTATGTACGTGTGGTTGGCGTGTTGTGTCTGTATATACGTGTGTTGGAGTGTGTTTGTGTCTGTATATACGTGTGTTGGAGTGTGTTTGTGTCTGTATGTACGTGTGTTGGAGTGTGTTTGTGTCTGTATGTACGTGTGTTGAGTGTGTGTTTGTGTCTGTATGTACGTGTGTTGGCGTGTGTTTGTGTCTGTATGTACGTGTGTTGGAGTGTGTTTGTGTCTGTATGTACGTGTGTTGGTGTGTGTTTGGTCTGTATGTACGTGTGTTGGAGTGTGTTTTGTGTCTGTATGTACGTGTGTTGGTGTGTGTTTGTGTCTGTATATACGTGTGTTGGAGTGCGTTTGTATCTGTATGTACGTGTGTTGGTGTGTGTTTGTGTCTGTATGCACGTGTGTTGGAGTGTGTTTTGTGTCTGTATGTACGTCTGTTGGCGTGTTTGTGTCTGTATATACGTGTGTTGGAGTGTGTTTGTGTCTGTATGTACGTGTGTTGGTGTGTGTTTGTGTCTGTATATACGTGTGTTGGAGTGCGTTTTGTATCTGTATGTACGTGTGTTGGTGTGTGTTTGTGTCTGTATGCACGTGTGTTGGAGTGTGTTTGTGTCTGTATGTACGTGTGTTGGTGTGTGTTTGTGTCTGTATGTACGTGTGTTGGCGTGTGTTTGTGTCTGTATGTACGTGTGTTGGCGTGTTTGTGTCTGTATATACGTGTGTTGAGTGTGTTTGTGTCTGTATGTACGTGTTATGGAGTGTGTTTGTGTCTGTATGTACGTGTGTTGGTGTGTGTTTGTGTCTGTATGTACGTGTGTTGGTTGTGTGTTTGTGCTGTATGTGCGTGTGTTGGTGTGTGTTTGTGTCTGTATATACGTGTGTTGGTGTGTGTTTGTGTCTGTATGTACGTGTTATGGAGTGTGTTTGTGTCTGTATGTACGTGTGTTTGAGTGTGTTTGTGTCTGTATGTACGTGTGTTGGTGTGTGTTTGTGTCTGTATGTAAGTGTGTTGGTGTGTTTGTGTATGTATGTACGTGTGTTGGTGTGTGTTTTGTGTTTGTATGTACGTGTGTTGGTGTGTGTTTTTTTCTGTATGTACGTGTGTGGTGTGTGTTTGTTTCTGTATGTAAGTGTGTTGGTGTGTTTGTGTATGTATGTACGTGTGTTGGTGTGTGTTTTGTGTCTGTATGTAAGTGTGTTTGTGTGTGTTTGTGTTTGTATGTACGTGTGTGGTGTGTGTTTGTGTCTGTATGTAAGTGTGTTGGTGTGTTTGTGTATGTATGTACGTGTGTTGGTGTGTGTTTGTGTCTGTATGTAAGTGTGTTTGTGTGTGTTTGTGTTTGTATGTACGCGTGTTGGTGTGTGTTTGTGTCTGTATGTAAGTGTGTTGGTGTGTTTGTGTCTGTATGTACGTGTGTTCGTGTGTGTTTGTATCTGTATGTACGTGTGTTGGTGTGTGTTTGTATCTGTATGTACGTGTGTTGGTGTGTGTTTGTATCTGTATGTACGTGTGTTGGTGGGCAGTACAGCTGTAATATTCACCTGTGTTCACAACTGCCTTTTTTATCTACAATCACAACTTTATAAACCCAAGATAAGTATTATGGAAGAAATGTTAATGAACAGAGTGAATACTGGCCGAGACTCGACTTTCCTCCCAGTACTGATACATGTAAGAATCTCGGTAGAGACTTGGTCACGACATACAAGATACTCGCTTATATATATATATATATATATATATATATATATATATATATATATATATATAATATATATATAAATATATATATATATATATATATATATATATATAATATATATATATATATATGGATTAATTATCTGATATTTTTTCATTATAATTAAAAACAAATGTTGAATGCCCCATGTATATAAGATCTGGCTCCAGGCCTCAAATTTAGGCTTGAGGGACTGACTACCTAATACCAGCCCTGACGGACTGATTCCTTCCCAACTGCTTCTACCGTCTCCATTGTTGTATTCAACTGCATAAGACTGTTACACAGGTGATACATTTCGGCAATACAAATACCCAAATGCTGCGCACATTTGTCGTGTTGAACAACATTTGACCAAGTTCAGTTGAACTGGAATAACCTGACTGAGAATCTCAGGCCAGCCAGGAAGCACTTGAGACAGTCATGGCAAACACGAACCGCGTATCAAGGATTATATTACACCCACGAATGATTACGTTCTTAATTATGCTTTCACTTTGAACTTACAACTACAATACTGAGCCAACATCTACCCTGGGTACATTATATCATGTACACATTCGTACACTGTGTGGGAAATATATACATGTAGATATGTTCACACTGTGTGAATAATATAAACAAATACACATGTCTACACTGTGTAAATAATATAAACAAATACACATGTCTACACTGTGTGTACATTACATTAACTAGACATGTCTACACTGCTGTGTGAACTTCATGGTCTGGGACAAGAGAGAACATAATATGTTGTGGTGAAGCATACTGACTTTCACCTGGCAATGTTTAAGAGAGACACTCACGAAAGTTACTCCAGCTCTCTGAGGAACCCTCCACTGGTGTTCCAGGAAATGTGTGTGTGTATGTGTGTGTGTGTGTGTGTGTGTGTGTGTGTGTGTGTGTGTGTGTGTGTGTGTGTGTGTGTGTGTGTGTGTGTGTGTGTGTGTGTGTGTGTGTGTGCGTGTGTGTGTGTGTGTGTGTGTGATTGTGGTGGCCTCACTGCAGTACTGTTTAGGGTGTGTGTGTGTGTGTTGGTCTCACTTCCTCTAGTATCTCTCAGTCATCTTCCAGTCATTGTCCAGGAGGCTTCTTTCTGAACTCCATTGATGACCATCTACGTCAGGGAAAAGCTGTATGGAGGCTTCACTTACTCTACTATTGTTCATCACATTCCAGAACGCTATGGGAATTTTTGTTCACGTTCCATCCGGCATCTTCCAGACAACAGTGTATCTTTTTTTTTACCATCTAGCAACATTTTTGGAAGCTATGCAAATATTCATCTTTCTCTGCTGCCATCCGTGTTCCAGTGAGATGCGCACTGGTTACACTTTCTCTAGTACCATCTAGCAAAGATCCATTAAGCTGGATGTATTATTGTTACTTTTTCTAGACCATCTAACAAAGATCAAGTAAGCTATGTGTGTGTTATCAGCACTTTCTTTAGTACCGTCTAGCAAAGATCCAGTAAGCTTTCTTATTTGAACTTTAACTAGTATCGTCTAGCAAAGATCAAATAAGCTGTGTGTGTGTGTGTGTGTTAGTTACACTGTTTCTATGAGTATTCAGTAGGTTCCAGGAATCACTGTGTCACTTTCTGTAAATCACCTTTCTTCTTGATGGGAACATTGCTAGCAGTTCCACCTTGCCAAAGGTACATTCCAGTTACGTTTTACTTACCAACGGTACGTTCCAGCCACCAAGTGTTCATAGTGGTCGCTTTAATATTAACCTGACTATAACAGTGGTAAAGCAAGAAGTTAACCTCATCCAAGTGAGTGTAAACCGGAAGCCTGTATTTGTTTTACATGATGGTAGGATTGTTGGTGTCTTTCTTCTGTCTCATAAACATGCAAGATTACAGGTACGTCTTGTTACTTCTACTTACACTTACGTCACACTACACATACATGTACATGTTTATGTATACACACTCATCTGAGTTTTCTTTCATTTTATCTTAATAGTTCTCGTTCTGATTGCTTTCCCTTTTATATTCATGGGGAAGTGGAATAAGAATCTTTCCTCCGTAAGCCATGCGTGTTGTAAAAGTCAACTAAAATGCTGGGAACAATGAGCTAGTAACTCTTTTTCCCTTATAGCTTACTAAAAAAAAGAAGAAAATCGTCAAAGTGGGATGTTTGAATGTTCGTGGATGTTGTGCGAATGTTAAGAAAGAGATGATTGTGGATGTTATGAATGAAAAAAAGCTGGATGTCCTGGCTTGAAATGAAACAAAGCTGAAGGGGATAGGAGAATTTCAGTGGGGAGAAATAAATGGAATTAGGTCAGGGGTTTCAAATAGAGTTAGAGCTAAGGAAAGGATAGTAATAATGTTTAAGGATAAGTTATGGCAGGAAAGGAATGAATATAAATGTATAAATTCAAGCATTATGTGGAGTAAAATAAGGGTTGGATGTAAAAAGGGGGTTATAATAAGTGTTTATTCACCTGGAAAAGACAGAGGCTTAGAGGAGAGAGAGAGATTTTGGGAAATGTTGAGTAAGTGCGATGAGAGTTTTGAACCAAGTGAGAGAGTGCTTGTGGTTAGGGATCTCAATGCTAAAGTGGGTAAAAATGTTGTAGAGGGAGTAGTAGGTAAATTTGGAATGCCAGCGGTAAATGAAAACGGGGAGCCTTTAAGTGAATTATGTGTAGAAAGAGGTTTGGTAATAAATAATACATATTTTATGAAAAAGAGGATAAACAAGTGTACTAGATATGATACAGCACGTAATGAAAGTAGTTTGTTAGATTATGTTAGGTTAATAAAAATGCGCAAACCAGGTAATCCAGTTAGACCAATTATTAGCTCCATAGGTTCAGTTTCCTGTAATTTATTTAAATATCTTGTAGATATTTTGAGCCCAAGTGTTGGAAAAATTTCTTTAATGTTAAAAACAACATAGATTTAGTGGATAAATTAAGCTCCTTGGCTGACTTAAATGATTTCAACATGGTTAGTTTTGATGTTACTTCATTATTTACAGAAGTTCCAGTTGATGATTTATTAAGTTTCTTATCTGAAGAACTTGTTAATTACGATTTACCATTGGCAGTTCCTACTATCATTAAACTTATTAAACTTTGTATTGTTGGTGCAAAATTTGTGTTTAATGATGAGTTTTACACTCAGAAGTTTGGTATGGCAATGGGAAATCCTCTCTCACCTGTTCTTGGTAATTTATACATGGAATTTTTTGAGACAAGATTGCTTAAAACAATATAGATATGCTGAGGATATTTTGTGTTTTTTGCCTAAAAATATAGACATAAACCATTTCCTGGTTAAATTAAACAATTTAGCTCATTCTATAAATTTTACTGTTGAGATCGAAGACAATAGCTCATTGCCTTTCCTAGATGTTTTAATTATTAAGGGTAACAATTATTTTAAATTTTAAAATTACAGAAAACCAACAAATAACTGTTCCTATGTCCACTATTATTCTTCACATCAAGATAGAGTTAAACTGTCGTTTTTCCTCTCAATGTTTTTGAGAACTTTTGCGTATTTGTAGTCCAGAATTAATAGATGAAGAAATCTCGAAAATTTATGAAATAGCTAAAAATCTAAAATAACCAAGAAAGTTAATTGATAAATCATGTAAAATTGCTCGAAATTAGTAAGTATAGGAGTAAGTACGTAAGTTTATTCAGGTATACACAAATACAGTTACATAGATTATCATACATAGCAGCATCTGTGTAAAGTACCCAGGATAACCCAGAAAAGTCAGATAGAGGGACTTATTTCCATTGGGGTCCTTTTTACAATCCAAAAAGGGACAACCAGCCTTATTCAACTAAAAATATGTTGGTTCTCCCTTACCATGAAAACTTGGTTGATATGCCTTCTCTTCTTAAGACTTTTAATATCAAAGTTGTATTCAAAAATCTTGATACAGTAAAAAAAACTTTTGATAAAAAATTCCCCTCAAAATGCTGACGGATGTGTCTATAAGATTCCTTGTAAAATTTGCGATAAAGTTTATTAGTTCAAACTGGTAAAAATCTCGAACTAAGATTAAAACAACATAAATATAGCATTAGAACTGGACAAGATTCCAATGTTCTATTTATTCATGTAAGAGATTTTAACCATCCAATTGATTTTCAAAAAGTTGAGAAAGTTGTATCAAGCAAGTCCATGGTCGACAGGAATATAATTGAATCTTGTTTCATAAAAAGCAGTTTTGACAATAATATGAATATTTCTTTTGGGTTATATTAATTGGATTTATTTATAATTAATAAAATTGGGGAAGAATTTAGTGATATATTAGGCAAGTAAAAAATCTTAATAATTGGGTAGAGTATCAGTTGTGTTTCACATAGCCAGGTGTTGTGACGCGACTGTGAGGTGTAGTCATGTCCCTTATATGCCTTCTTGTTGATGTTTTTATTTTTATAGTTCTTTGATAATGTGATAAGTCACGAAAGCGCTTGGAATTTCCCTATTCTTTTACAGTGGTTGTGCTGCATCTTTATATATATATATATATATATATATATATATATATATATATATATATATATATATATATATTATATATATATATATATATATATATATATATATATATATATATATATATATATATATATATATACATGTATATATATATATATATATATATATATATATATATATATATATATATATATATATATATATATATATATATATATATATATATATATTACACACATATATATGCATAGTGACCGTGAGAGAGAGGGATAAGATGTTGTTCGAGGTCATTTACGTTGCATTTGCAAAACAGAAGGATGATGGCGCCAGTCTGACGCGACTTTATGTGCCAGATGTCAAGGAATGTGTGTGCTTTAAGCGAGGAGGAAAAACGATAGTTATGCCCAAAAACATCAACATATAAGGTGGACTTTGAATGATAAATGATATGTTATATGTTATATAAGACCCATTATTACCATTTTTGTCGGGTTTATGGGTTTAGTTACTGTTTTCTCCTTACTTAATATACAGTTCTTGACAAGTGGCACAGAGAGTTGCGTCAGAGTGGCGCCTCTGTCTGCCTTCTTCCTTCTCTTCTGGCTACACTGCATTCCTGAATGCATCTCTCTGGGTTCCAATAATTTTTTTTCACCCTCCATTTCCTTCATTGCATTGCTCCTGAAGAAGCTTTTGCAGTTCCTGCGCGAGAGGCCTCAAGTAACACCATCTTCTCTCTCATCATTGATGTGAACACACATACAAACAAACAAGCACACGCACATGCACTATCTCTCTCTCACACACAAATATATAATATATATATATATATATATATATATATATATATATATTATATATATATATATATATATATATATATATATATATATATATATATATATATATATATATATATATATATATATATATATTTGTTGAACATTTTACTGAGTGGTTGTGTTATTATCCCTGGCAGACAAGCGAGTGTTGGATCGTCAGCTGTATGGGACACCAGCCACTCCCAGTGAGAACGGTGCGTGTAGCAGTCACTGCTGGGGTTGATTCCCGGCTCCTGGGTCTGAGAAGGTTGAGTCCCAGTTCTAGTGTATGAGAAGGCTGAGTCTCAACTCTTAGTTAAGAGAAGTTGAGTCTCAGTTCTTGGGTCTCCTCTTTCTTACTACCTTCAGTGCAGAGTGGCACACATCCCATATACATCTTCTTTACTTTTCCTGCAGACAGAAGGTCACTCAACTTTCTATTCACTTCTTATGTTCTCTCCCACCCGGAGCTGTTTTGTATACTTTGAGTACGTCTCTGAGTGACTTGTAAGATGTGGTCATGTTTCCTATGCACCATCACTTCTCTTGTATCCAAAGGTCGTGTATTCCAAAACAGTTGTTTCCATCTCAGAACTCTTGGGTCTAGGACCAGCCTTGATCCAAGACTCTAGATTTCTTTCAATTATATTTACAAGCTTAAGGAGAAAAGGGATACCTAGTGTAGTCTGATTCTATTGTACTGATCCTATGTTCATCACGTGAAGGTTCAATACATAAAGGAGTCAAGAGGATCTGCTAAACTATATACAAGTGTCTACATCACTCACTTGACAATAAACAGAGATAATTAGAAATAAATCGGCAAAGAAACCATATTTTACTACTAGCAACAATATCTCAGGAAGAAGAGTGTAGGATGAGTGAACTACTAGTAACAATATCTCAGGAAGAAGAGTGTAGGATGAGTGAACTACTAGTAACAATATCTCAGGAAGAAGAGAGTAGGATGAGTGAACTACTAGTAACAATATCTCAGGAAGAAGAGAGTAGGATGAGTGAACTACTAGTAACAATATCTCAGGAAGAAGAGTGTAGGATGAGTGAACTACTAGTAACAATATCTCAGGAAGAAGAGTGTAGGATGAGTGAACTAACTAGTAACAATATCTCAGGAAGAAGAGTGTAGGATGAGTGAACTACTAGTAACAATATCTCAGGAAGAAGAGTGTAGGATGAGTGAACTACTAGTAACAATATCTCAGGAAGAAGAGTGTAGGATGAGTGAACTACTAGTAACAATATCTCAGGAAGAAGAGTGTAGGATAAGTGAACTACTAGCAACAATATCTCAGGAAGAAGAGTGTAGGATGAGTGAACTACTAGTAACAATATCTCAGGAAAAAGAGTGTAGGATGAGTGAACTACTAGTAACAATATCTCAGGAAGAAGAGTGTAGGATGAGTGAACTACTAGTAACAATATCTCAGGAAGAAGAGTGTAGGATGAGTGAACTACTAGTAACAATATCTCAGGAAGAAGAGTGTAGGATGAGTGAACTACTAGTAACAATATCTCAGGAAGAAGAGTGTAGGATGAGTGAACTATCAGTAACAATATCTCAGGAAGAAGAGTGTAGGATGAGTGAACTACTAGTAACAATATCTCAGGAAGAAGAGTGTAGGATGAGTGAACTACTAGCAACAATATCTCAGGAAGAAGAGTGTAGGATGAGTGAACTACTAGTAACAATATCTCAGGAAAAAGAGTGTAGGATGAGTGAACTACTAGTAACAATATCTCAGTAAGAAGAGTGTAGGATGAGTGAACTACTAGTAACAATATCTCAGGAAGAAGAGTGTAGGATGAGTGAACTACTAGTAACAATATCTCAGGAAGAAGAGTGTAGGATGAGTGAACTACTAGTAACGATATCTCAGGAAGAAGAGTGTAGGATGAGTGAACTACTAGTAACAATATCTCAGGAAGAAGAGTGTAGGATGAGTGAACTACTAGTAACAATATCTCAGGAAGAAGAGTGTAGGATGAGTGAACTACTAGCAACAATATCTCAGGAAGAAGAGTGTAGGATGAGTGAACTACTAGTAACAATATCTCAGGAAGAAGAGTGTAGGATGAGTGAACTACTAGTAACAATATCTCAGGAAGAAGAGTGTAGGATGAGTGAACTACTAGTAACAATATCTCAGGAAGAAGAGTGTAGGATGAGTGAACTACTAGTAACAATATCTCAGGAAGAAGAGTGTAGGATGAGTGAACTACTAGTAACAATATCTCAGGAAGAAGAGTGTAGGATGAGTGAACTACTAGTAACAATATCTCAGGAAGAAGAGTGTAGGATGAGTGAACTACTAGCAACAATATCTCAGGAAGAAGAGTGTAGGATGAGTGAACTACTAGTAACAATATCTCAGGAAGAAGAGTGTAGGATGAGTGAACTACTAGCAACAATATCTCAGGAAGAAGAGTGTAGGATGAGTGAACTACTAGCAACAATATCTCAGGAAGAAGAGTGTAGGATGATGAACTACTAGCAACAATATCTCAGGAAGAAGAGTGTAGGATGAGTGAACTACTAGTAACAATATCTCAGGAAGAAGAGTGTAGGATGAGTGAACTACTAGCAACAATATCTCAGGAAGAAGAGTGTAGGATGAGTGAACTACTAGCAACAATATCTCAGGAAGAAGAGTGTAGGATGAGTGAACTACTAGCAACCATCACTACCTCTTCATCCTAGTTCTATATATTCTTATATCATCTTCATAGACTGCACTTGTTGTTAATTTTCTAAATTCATGCTGGCAAAGCAAAAAAAATTATATTTCTTATGGTCTTTTCTGTCTTGCAGATGATCGTCAGTGACGACAATTGTCTGTCTGTGGCCCAGCACCTCCTGTGTGTCTGTAGCCCAGCACCTCCTGTGTGTCTGTAGCCCAGCACGTCCTGTGTGGCTGTAGCCCAGAACCTCCTGTGTGGCTGTAGCCCAGCACCTCCTGTGTGTCTGTAGCCCAGCACCTCCTGTGTGTCTGTAGCCCAGCACCTCCTGTGTGTCTGTAGCCCAGCACCTCCTGTGTGTCTGTAGCCCAGCACCTCCTGTGTGTGTGTAGCCCAGCACCTCCTGTGTGTGTGTAGCCCAGCACCTCCTGTGTGTCTGTAGCCCAGCACCTCCTGTGTGTCTGTAGCCCAGCACCTCCTGTGTGTGTGTAGCCCAGCACCTCCTGTGTGTCTGTAGCCCAGCACCTCCTGTGTGTCTGTAGCCCAGCACCTCCTGTGTGTGTGTAGCCCAGCACCTCCTGTGTGTCTGTAGCCCAGCACCTCCTGTGTGTCTGTAGCCCAGCACCTCCTGTGTGTCTGTAGCCCAGCACCTCCTGTGTGTCTGTAGCCCAGCACCTCCTGTGTGTCTGTGGCCCAGCACCTCCTGTGTGTCTGTAGCCCAGCACCTCCTGTGTGTCTGTAGCCCAGCACCTCCTGTGTGTCTGTAGCCCAGCACCTCCTGTGTGTCTGTAGCCCAGCACCTCCTGTGTGTCTGTGGCCCAGCACCTCCTGTGTGTCTGTAGCCCAGCACCTCCTGTGTGTCTGTAGCCCAGCACCTCCTGTGTGTCTGTAGCCCAGCACCTCCTGTGTGTCTGTAGCCCAGCACGTCCTGTGTGTCTGTAGCCCAGCACCTCCTGTGTGTCTGTAGCCCAGCACCTCCTGTGTCTGTAGCCCAGCACCTCCTGTGTGTCTGTGGCCCAGCACCTCCTGTGTGTCTGTGGCCCAGCACCTCCTGTGTGTCTGCAGCCCAGCACCTCCTGTGTGTCTGTAGCCCAGCACCTCCTGTGTGTCTGTAGCCCAGCACCTCCTGTGTGTCTGTAGCCCAGCACCTCCTGTGTGTCTGTGGCCCAGCACCTCCTGTGTGTCTGTAGCCCAGCACCTCCTGTGTGTCTGTAGCCCAGCACCTCCTGTGTGTCTGTAGCCCAGCACCTCCTGTGTGTCTGTAGCCCAGCACCTCCTGTGTGTCTGTGGCCCATGCACCTCCTGTGTGTCTGTAGCCCAGCACCTCCTGTGTGTCTGTAGCCCAGCACCTCCTGTGTGTCTGTAGCCCAGCACCTCCTGTGTGTCTGTAGCCCAGCACGTCCTGTGTGTCTGTAGCCCAGCACCTCCTGTGTGTCTGTAGCCCAGCACCTCCTGTGTGTCTGTAGCCCAGCACCTCCTGTGTGTCTGTGGCCCAGCACCTCCTGTGTGTCTGTGGCCCAGCACCTCCTGTGTGTCTGTAGCCCAGCACCTCCTGTGTGTCTGTAGCCCAGCACCTCCTGTGTGTCTGTAGCCCAGCACCTCCTGTGTGTCTGTAGCCCAGCACCTCCTGTGTGGTCTGTAGCCCAGCACCTCCTGTGTGTCTGTAGCCCAGCACCTCCTGTGTGTCTGTAGCCCAGCACCTCCTGTGTGTCTGTAGCCCAGCACGTCCTGTGTGTCTGTAGCCCAGCACCTCCTGTGTGTGTGTAGCCCAGCACCTCCTGTGTGTCTGTAGCCCAGCACGTCCTGTGTGTCTGTAGCCCAGCACCTCCTGTGTGTGTGTAGCCCAGCACCTCCTGTGTGTGTGTAGCCCAGCACGTCCTGTGTGTGTGTAGCCCAGCACCTCCTGTGTGTGTGTAGCCCAGCACCTCCTGTGTGTGTGTAGCCCAGCACCTCCTGTGTGTGTGTAGCCCAGCACCTCCTGTGTGTCTGTAGCCCAGCACCTCCTGTGTGTCTGTAGCCCAGCACCTCCTGTGTGTGTGTAGCCCAGCACCTCCTGTGTGTGTGTAGCCCAGCACCTCCTGTGTGTGTGTAGCCCAGCACCTCCTGTGTGTCTGTAGCCCAGCACGTCCTGTGTGTCTGTAGCCCAGCACCTCCTGTGTGTCTGTAGCCCAGCACCTCCTGTGTGTCTGTAGCCCAGCACCTCCTGTGTGTCTGTAGCCCAGCACGTCCTGTGTGTCTGTAGCCCAGCACCTCCTGTGTGTGTGTAGCCCAGCACCTCCTGTGTGTCTGTAGCCCTGCAAGTCCTGTGTGTCTGTAGCCCAGCACTTCCTGTGTGTGTGTAGCCCAGCACCTCCTGTGTGTCTGTAGCCCAGCACCTCCTGTGTGTCTGTAGCCCAGCACCTCCTGTGTGTGTGTAGCCCAGCACCTCCTGTGTGTCTGTAGCCCAGCACCTCCTGTGTGTCTGTAGCCCAGCACCTCCTGTGTGTCTGTAGCCCAGCACCTCCTGTGTGGCTGTAGC